TAGCAAACGTATTTAAGATTTATCATGTGTTCTGTGAATCAGTATAAATATTAGTCCATCATACATAAATACTAATTTTTCTTATCTATTTATCTGTTGAAGGACATCTGGAATTTATCCAGTTTTTAGCAATTATGAATAAAGCTACTGTAATCATTCATGTACAGGTTTTTGTGTGAATACATGCTTTCGTTTCACTTGGGTAATGACCTAAAAATAAGACTGCTGGCTCATATAATAAATGTATTTTTAAATTTATTAGTTACTGCCAAACCATATGGTATTGTCTTTTATCATTTATTTCTCCAATTTCTGTTTTTTAGTTTATAAAAACATAAATGATTTTTTGTATGTTGACTATATTCTGGGATGTTGCTGTATTTGCTTGTTAGATCTAATAGTTTTTGTAAATCTCATTGAATTTTTTTTTGTAAACAATCATGTCCTCTGTGAATAACAAGTCATTACTAAGAGAGTGCCAGCAGCCCTTACTCATCTCTAGAAAAAATGAAAAAAAAAATTCTAGGATTTTCACCAAGATGGCTGAATAGGAACAACTTCAATCTGCAGTTCCCAGCAGAAGGTGAGTGATCTCCACATTTCTAACTGAGGTACCAATTTTATCTCATTGATACTGGTTAGACAGTGGGTGCAACCCAAGGACAGTGAGCCGAAACAGGGTGGGTTATTGCCTCACCCAGGAAGTGCAAGGGGCCAGAGAACTCCCTCTCCTAGCCAAGGGAAGCCATTAGGGACTTTCCGTGGTACACTCTGGCTCAGATACTGTGTTTTCCCATGGTCCCGGGTTTCTAGCACAAATTCACAATAAAAAAAAAATAAATAAAAATAATAATAATAAATAAAAAAATAAAATAAAAAAACAAGCAACCCCATCAAAAAGTGAGTGAAGGATATGAACAGACACTTTTCAAAAGAAGACATTTATGCAGCCAACAAACATGAAAAAAAGCTCATCATCATTGATCATGAGAGAAATGTAAATCAAAACCACATTGAGATACCATCTCACACCAGTTAGAATGGTGATCATTAAAATATCAGTAGACAACAGATGCTGGAGTGGATGTGGAGAAATAGGAATGCTTTTACACTGTTGGGAGTGTAAATTAGTTCAACCATTGTGGAAGACAGTATGGCAGACAGATCCTCAAGGATTTAGAACTAAAAATACAATTTGACCCAGCATCCCATTACTGGGTATTTACCCAAAGGATTATAAATCATTCTATTGTAAAGACACATACACACATATGTTTATTGTGGCACTGTTCACAATAGCACAGACTTGGAACCAACCTAAATGCTCATCAATGATAGACTGGATAAAGAAAATGTGGCACATGTATCCCATGGAATACTATGCAGCCATAAAAGAGGATGAGTTCATGTTTTTTGCAGGGACATGGAAGAAACTGGAAACCATCATTTTCAGCAAAGTGACATGAGAACAGAAAACCAAACACTGCATGTTCTCACTCATAAGTGGGAGTTGGACAATGAGAACACATGGACACAGGGAGGGCAATGTCACACACTGGGGCCTGTCGAGGGTTGAGGGGGCTAGAGGAGGGATATTTAGGGAGTGCAGGGTAGGGGAGGGATAGCATTAGGAGAAATACCTAATGTAAATGACAGGGTGATGGATGCAGCAAACCATCATGGCACACCTGCACATTCTGCACATGTACCCCAGAACTTAAAGTATAATAAAAAAAATCTTATATTATTCAAGTCTCTTCGAGAGACAGACCAATCGAATATTTATTCTGCCTCTTATATTATTTATTCCTGAAGAGTCTGGGACATTCATAGTCCTGCCTGGATTGGGTTGTAATTTTCCATTGACCTTATTTATGGGCCATGTCATCCACGATATGTTTGTGTGTGTGTACATATGTATGTATACATACACACAAATATATATACACATTAAAATATATATTATGTATAATATAACATTGAGAGATAATTTATTAGGAAAATTAGCTCATGTGGTTATGGAGACTGAGTCCCAAGAAAGGCCATCTGCAAGCTGGAGATCCTGGCTTGCTGGTAATGTAACTTAGTCCAGGTCTGAAGATCTCAGAACCAAGGAAACTGATGGTGCAATTCTCAGTGAAAAGCCAAAATTCTGAGATCACAGAGGGGCACTGGAAGAAGTTGCAGTCCAAAGGCCAGGGAACCTGGAGAGGAACAGCATCCCAGCTTCAGCAAATAGACTGACATAGTCACCTTTTCTCTGTTTCAGTTATCTCTGGCCCCCAACAGATTGGATGATGCCTTCCCACATTGATGATGGATCTTCCACAACTAGTCCTCTCAGACTCACATGCTCATCTCTGGAAACATCCTCAAAGGCACGCCCAATTATAATGCTTATCAGGTTTTTAGGTATTCCTCAGTCCAGTCAAGTTGACATCTAAAATTAACCATCACAAGCCCGCTCACTTTCAACTTGCCACCCATATGCATCTCCTTAAACCATATTTAATCTCCAAGTAAGACATTAATGAGGTAATAGTTCCACTTAACATGATACACCTTTTCTACATGCAAGTAAAAACACATTAGTTCTTCTCCCCAAAGAAAAGGTAGTTTTTTTGGTGATGTTTATTCTTCTGATATATCATTTCTTACATATCATTATATAAAATTAACAATACTTATATACTAATATAAGTTCAATCTTACATGATAAAAAAGAGGAGAATGAAAACAAAGATATTTCCACAATATATGTATATATACACAGAGACATATTCTTAACAAAATAGGGAATAAACTCTTACAATAATTAGTCTTCATTTCTGTAACTGGTTACGTGGCCCTAGCTGGTGTTTGTGACTACTTTCTTTTGCTATTTATTTAGTATCCCCGTTGCCTTCAGGAAGCACCTTAGCTGGTGGTGGTTCTTTATCTAGTGAGGTGACCCAAATATCTATTCTTGAAATCTGGCCAATAGTAATTTTGCCTCAATTGGGTTGTTGTAATTTTCTACTGACCTTAACTACAGACCATAGTAGTACAAAGAGATGCCCTAAGAAATCTTCTGTATTCCAAACATCTCCTTAACTCCATTATGAAGTAGTAGTCCAATTTCGGCTAGGTACTCTGGATCAATCACCCCAGCAAGCTGTGTGAGAAGCCCAAGGAGGTTGAGCAGCAGCCTTAATTTGCAGTTTAATTGAATCATTGTTGTGTCTTATAGCGGAAGCATTCTTCCCTCCGGAATTAAGATGTCTAGAGCCAGGAGAGCATAAAGTCACAGGAACAGAAAGTCAAAGTTTTGCTAGCAGATCACGATAATAAATTGTGAATGATGCCACTCCCATTTTCACCTCTTAATTTCTGGATCTATGAATCCTGGCCATGAGAGGAATAATAGCATAAATTAGGCACTGATTTAGAGCATATACATACAGCCTTCTGAAGAATCTTTCCCCAGTGCTACTAGGTATTTTCACTTAGCTGGTGCTATAATTTTGACTTCAAAAGACTCTTCCACCATTTTATTAAACCAGCTTCTTCAGGATGATGAAGAGTATGAAAATAGCAGTGAATTTCGTGAGCATGACCACACTGCCACACTCCTTTGGCTATGAAGTGAGTTTCTTTGTCAGAAGCAATGCTATGTGGAATACTATGATGGTAAATAAAACATCCTATGAGTCCAGTTAGTAGTTTTGGCAGAGGCATTGTGTTCAGGGAAAGCAAATCCATATCTACAGTGTCTATTCCTTTAAAGACAAAACACTGCCCTTTATATTATTGAAGTGGTCCAATTTAATTAGCCTGCCACCAGGTAGCTTGCTATCTCAGGATATGGTCACCTAAGAGGCTGTTGATCTCTTCTGCAGTCAGATTGGGCACTCAGCAGTGGCCATGGCCAGGTTGGCCTTTGTGAGTGGAAGTCCATGTTTGTGAGTCCCTGCATACTCTCTATCATCACACCATTGCCACTTTGTTTGTGAACCCACTGAGCATCGACGAGTAGCTGAGAAAAGAGGTTGACTAATATCCACAGAGTAGGTTATTCTATCCACCTGATTATCAAAGTCCTCCTCTGCTGATGTCATTCTTTGGCACGCATTGACATGGGGCAAAAATATCTTCATATCCTTTACCCACTCAGAGTTTTATTCACATATCACTTTTCCAAATTATTTGTTATCAATTTTTCAATTATGTTCTTTCCAAGTCTTTTACCATTTGGTCAAATCATTGGCTACAGCCCATGAAATAGTATATAATCAACCGTTTGGCATTTCTACTTCCAAGCAAAGTGCACATTCAGGTGCACTGCCCAAATTACTGCCCATTGACAAGATTTCCCTTTGCCATTGTCATTCCAGGTTGTCCTAGTAAGTGACTATGCTGCTACAGCTCTCAACTTTTGGGCTTGCCTACATATGCAGAACCATCTGTAAACTAGCCTTCATCTTTTCTTCCTGTGTCGATTGATTATAGAGTACTTTCCATGAGGCCATTGTTACAGGCGCAGGCTGAGAAAGAGAAGGTGGTGTATTAGGAGAAGAAACCATGCTTTTGGGGGGCCAAGTCTTTATATAACTTAACTGTGCCTTCAGGATCTGCTTGGGCCTGATCACATATATACCACTTCCATCTGATGATGGAGTACTGCTGAGCCCACCCAACTTTATGATTTGGTGGGTAAAATAACACCCAGTTCAGGATGGAAAACTCGGGTCACATGGTAACTTGATGGCCCATAATTAAGAATTCTACCAACAAAGCATTCTACTTAGTTTCCACTAAGGCCCAGTAACAGGCCAAAAGCTATCTCTCAAAAGGATATTATTTATCTACAGATAATGACAGGGTCTGGTGAAAAACCTCAGGGGCCTTTACTGTGATTCACCTGGAAAGGCTTGCTAAAGACTCCAAACAGCGGTGTGGGATGGCCACAGAGCCGGGCGGAGCTGGCCTGCGGCTACGGGGCCGGCTCTCCGGCCGGAGACATGGCCCGGGGGCCCGGCCCGCTAGGCCAGCCTCGCCCCGGTACGGTCGTCCCGGTCGCCATGCCCAAGAGAGGAAAGAGACTCAAGTTCCTGGCCCACGACGCCTGCTCCGACCGAGTGACCGTGGTGGATTACGCCAACTCGGATCCGGCGGTCGTGAGGTCTGGACGAGTCAAGAAAGCCGTAGCCAACGCGGTTCAGCAGGAAGTAAAATCTCTTTGTGGTTTGGAAGCCTCTCAGGTTCCTGCAGAGGAAGCTCTTTCTGGGGCTGGTGAGCCCTGTGACATCATCGACAGCAGTGATGAGATGGATGCCCAGGAGGAAAGCATCCATGAGAGAACTGTCTCCAGAAAAAAGAAAAGCAAGAGGCACAAAGAAGAACTGGACGGGGCTGGAGGAGAAGAGTATCCGATGGATATTTGGCTATTGCTGGCCTCGTATATCCGTCCTGAGGACATTGTGAATTTTTCCCTGACTTGTAAGAATGCCTGGACTGTCACTTGCACTGCTGCGTTTTGGATCAGGTTGTACGGAAGTGCTTACTTTTCTGGTGCAGAAAGATTGTTGGGAACAGACAGGAACCAATGTGGGAATTCAACTTCAAGTTCAAAAAACAGTCCCCTAGGTTAAAGAGCAAGTGTACGGGAGGATTGCAGCCTCCCGTTCAGTATGAAGATGTTCATACCAACCCAGACCAGGACTGCTGCCTACTGCAGGTCACCACCCTCAATTTCATCTTTATTCCGATTGTCATGGGAATGATATTTACTCTGTTTACTATCAATGTGAGCACGGACATGCGGCACCATCGAGTGAGACTGGTGTTCCAAGATTCCCCTGTCCATGGTGGTCGGAAACTGCGCAGTGAACAGGGTGTACAAGTCATCTTGGACCCAGTGCACAGCGTTCGGCTCTTTGACTGGTGGCATCCTCAGTACCCATTCTCCCTGAGAGCATAGTTACTGCTTCCCGTCCCTTGGAAGCAGCCCCGAGTCTAGTCCGTTAGTAATCAGATTCCGGTTTGGAAGGGGCAGCTGGATTGTATATCTAGTTAGTAATGCACATGCTCTTCAGGATCTAGGGCTCCTGTTAGGGGAGGGAGAAATGTTGAATCAAGAGGAAAAATAACAACTATAATTTATGAACATATTTTAATGTAAAAATTTGCATTTAAAAGGAGTGGCCCTGTTTTCTGTGTTAAAACCCCATTTGGTGCTATTGAGTTTGTTCTTTATTCTTTTATCACAGTGAAAATCGTTGATCTTGCTCTAGGGAAAAATTAAACTCTTTGAATCTCTAAAAAAAAAAAAAGACTCCAAACAGTATTTCTATCTGCCATTGACACCTCAAGTACCATTGGATCTGTTGAATCATAAGGCCCAAGTGACAGAACAGCTTGCATAGCAGCCTGGACCTGTTGCAGAGCATTGTGTTCTGAGTCCCACTCAGAACTAACAGCTTTTCAGGTGTCTCAGTAGATGGGACAGAGTAATACACTCACATGAAGAATGTATTTTGTCCAAAATCCAAATAGGCCCACTAGGTGTTGTGCCTGTTTCTTGGTTGTAGAAGAGGACAAATGTAACAACTTATCCTTCTCTTTAAAAAGGATTTTACCACACTATTGGACGCTTAGCAGGTTCACTAAGGTGGGCAGGGTGCAGTGTCTCATGTCTGTAATTCTGGCACTTTGGGAAGCAGAGGTGGGTGGATCACAAGGACAGGAGATAAAGATCATCTTGGCCAACATGGTGAAACCCCGTCTGTACTAAAAATAGAAAAATTAGCTTGGTGTGGTGGCGCACACCTGTAGTCCTGGCTACTTGGAAAGCTAAGGCAGGATAATCGCTTGATCCCAGGAGGCGGAGGTTGCAGTGAGCCAAGATCACACCACAGCCCTCCAGCATGGAAGACAGAGCAAGACTCCATCTCAAAAAAAATAAAAATAAAAATTAATTAATTAATTAATTAATTAAAAAATAAAAATAAAGAAGTATCACTATAGTAGAAGTCCCCTGAATTTCAGTTAGATTTATTTTCCATTGACATGCAAATGCTTTAGCAATTAAGCCAGAGTGGCTTCTACTTCATGTTTTCTAGGCCCAGTCAGCATAATGAAATCAATATAACACACCACTGTGAAATAGTGTCTGGGGAAAAGGTAGTCAAGATAGCTACAAACTAAACTGTAATACAAAACTGGAGATAAGGTAGGAAAATGAAAGTATATTGCTGGCTTAGCCAACTGAAAACAAACTACTTCTGGTGGGTTTTTTTTTTTTTTTAATATATATACTTTAAGTTCTAGGGTATATGTGCAGATTATACATGTTTGTTACATAGGTATACAAGTGCCATGGTGGTGGTTTGCTGCATCCATAACTGCATCATCTACATTGGGTATTTCCTCTAATATTATCCCTCTGCAATCCCCCCATCCCCTGCTATTCCTATCCTAGTCCCCACCCCTTAGACCTGGTGGGTGATGTTTCCCTCCCTGTCTGTGTGTTCTTATTGTTTAATACCCACTTATGAGTGAGAAAATGTGGCATTTTGTTTTCTGTTCTTGTGTCAGTTTGCTGAAAATGATGGTTTCCAGCTTCATCCACGTCCCAGCAAAGGACATGAACTCATCCTTTTTTATGGCTGCATAGTATTCCATGTTGTATATGTGCCAAGTTTTCTTTATCCAGTCTATCATTGATGGGCATTTGGGTTGGTTCCAAGTCTGCTATTGTGAACAGTGCCACAATAAACATAACATGTACATGAGTCTTTATATTAGAATCTTTTATAATTATAAAAGAATTTATAATCTTTTGGGTATATAGCCAGTAATGGGATTATTGGGTCAAATTTTATTTCTATTTCTAGATCCTTAAGGAATTGCCGCACTGTCTTCCATAATGGTTGAACTAATTTACACTCCCACCAACAATGTAAAAGCGTTCTTATTCCTCCACATCCTCTCCAGCATCGATTGCCTCTTGATTTTTTAATAATCTAACTGGTGCCAAGTAATATCTCAATGTAGTTTTGATTTGCTAATGACCAGTGATGTTGAGCTTTTTCTCATAGTTTGTTGGCTGCATAAATGTCTTCTTTTGAAAAGTGTCTGTCCATATTCTTTGCCCACTTTTTGATGGGGTTGTTTGAGTTTTTTTTTTTTCTTATAAATTTGTTTAAGTTCTTTTTAGATTCTGGATAGTAGCCTTTGTCAGATGGGTATATTGCAAAATTTTTCCCCATTCTGTTAGTTGCCAGTTCACTCTAATGATAGTTTCTTTTGCTGTGCAGAAGCTCTTAAGTTTAATTAGATCCCATTTGTCTATTTTGGCTATTGTTGCCATTGCTTTTGGTACTTTAGTCATGAAGTCCTTGCCTATGCCTATATCCTGAATGGTATTGCCTAGGTTTTCGTCCAGAGTTTTTATGGTATTAGACCTCATGTTTAAATCTTTAATCCATCTAGGGTTATTTTTGTATAAGGTGTAAGGAAGGGATCCACTTTCAGCTTTCTGCATATGGCTAGCCAGTTTTCCCAACATTATTCATTAAATAAGGAATCCTTTCCTCATTGTTTGTTTTTGTCAGGTTTGTCAAATATCAGATGGTTGTAATTGTGTGACATTCTTTATGATACCTGTCCTGTTTCATTGGTCTATATCTTTGTTTTGGTACCAGTACCATGCTGGTTTGATTACTGTAGCCTTGTAATATAGTTTGAAGTCAGGTAGTGTGATGCCTCCAGCTTGGTGGTGTTTTCTTTTTTCTGTTTTTTTGTTTTGTTTTGTTTTGTTTTTTTGTTTTTTTTTTGTTTTTTTTTTTGTTTGTTTGTTGTTGTTGTTGTTGTTGTTGTTGTTGTTGTTGTTTTGTATTGCTTAAAATTCTTTTGGCTATGTGGGCTCTTTTTTGGTTCCATATGAAGTTTAAGGTTTTTTTTTGTTTGTTTGTTTGTTTGTTTTTTCAATTCTGTGAAGAACGGTATTGGTAGCTTGATGGGGATAGCATTGAATCTCTAAATTACTTTGGGCAGTATGATCATTTTCACTATATTGATTCTCCATAACCATGAGCATGGGATGTTTTTCCATCTGTTTGTATCCTCTCTGATTTCCTAAATCAGTGGTTTGTAGTTCTCCTTGAAGAAGTCCTTCTCATCCCTTGTTAGTTGGATTCCTAGGTATTTTATTCTCTTTGTAGCAATTGTGAATGGGAGTTCACTCATGATTTGGCTCTCTGTTGGTCTATTATTGGTGTATAGAAAAGCTTGTGACTTTTACACATCGATTTTGTATCCTGAGGCTTTGCTGAAGTTGCTTATCACCTTAAGGAGATTTGGGGCTAAGACAATGGGATTTTCTAAATATACAAGCATGTCATCTGCAAACAGGAACAATTTGGTGTCCTCTTTTCCTATCTGAATACCCTTTATTTCTTTCTCTTGCCTGATAGCCCTAGCCAGAACTTCCAATACTATGTTGAATAGGAGTAGTGAGAGAGGTCATTTTTGTCTTGTCCCAGTTTTTAAAGAAAATGCTTCCAGTTTTTTCCCATTCAGTATGATACTGGCTGTGAGTTTGTTATAGATAGCTCTTATTATTTTGAGATACAATCCATTGATGCCTAGTTTATTGAGAGATTTTAGCATAAAAGGCTGTTGAATTTTGTTGAAGGCCTTCTCTGCATCTATTGAGATAATAATGTGGTTTTTGTCTTTGGTTCTGTTTATGTGATAGATTACCTATATATATTTGTGGATGCTGAAACCAGTCTTGCATCCCCAGGATGAAGCCTACTTGATCATGATGGATAAGCTTTTTGATGTTCTGTTGGATTTGGTTTGTCATTTTATTGAAGATTTTTGCAACAATATTCATCATGGATATTGGCCTGAAATTTTCTTTTTTAGTTGTGTCTCTGCCAGGTTTTGGTATCAGGATGACGTTGGTCTCATAAAATGAGTTAGGGAGGATTCTTCTTTTTGTAGTGTTTGGAATAGTTTCAGAAGGAATGGTAAAAGCTCCTCTTTGTAACTTTGGTAGAATTCAGCTATTAATCCATCTGGTCCTAGACTTTTTTTGGTTGGTAGGCTTTAATTGAAGCCTCAACTTCAGACCTTGTTATTGGTCTAAGCAGGAATTCAACTTCTTGCTGGTTTAGTCTTGGGAGAGTTTAAATGTCCAGGAATTTATTCGTTTCTTCTAGATTTACTGTTTTTTCTGCATAGAGTTGTTTGTAGTAATTTCTGATGGCCGTTTGTGTTTCTGTGGGATCAGTGGAGATATCCCCTTCATCATTTTCATTGCATCTATTTAAATCTTGCTCTTTTCTTTTTTATTAGTTTTGCTAGCAGTCTATTTTGTTGATCTTTTCAAATAACCAACTCCTGGATTTATTGACTTTTGAAGTGATTTTTGTGTCTCTATTTCCTTCAATTCTGCTCTGATCTTAGTTATTTCTTGTCTTCTGCTAGCTTTTGAGTTTTCTTGATCTTGCTCCTCTAGTTTTTTTAATTGTGATACTAGTGTGTCAATTTTAGATATTTCCTGCTTTCTCCTGTGGGCTTTTAGTGCTATAGATTTCCCTCTAGACATTGCTTTAAATGTGTCCCAGAGATTCTTGTCCCTTGTGTCTTCATTCTCATTGGTTTTGAGAAACATCTTTATTTCTGCCTTCATTTCATTATTTATCCATTAATCATTCAGTAGCATGTTGTTTAGTTTCCATGTAGTTGTGTGGTCTTGAGTGAGTTTCTTAATCATCTGTTCTAATTTGATTGCACTGTGGTCTGAGAGACTGTTATGATTTCCGTTCTTTTGCATTTGCTGAGGAGTGTTTAACTTCAAATTATGTGGTCAATTTTATAGTAAGTGTGATGTGGTGGTGAAAAGAATGTATATTCTGTGGTTTTGGAGTAGAGAGTTCTGTAGATGTCTATTAGGTCCACTTGGTCCAGATCTGAGATCAAGTCCTGGATATCCTTGTTAGATTTCTGTCTGTCTAGTATTCACAATGGAGTGTTAGTCTCCCACTATTATTGTGTGGGAGTCTAAATCTCTTTGCAGGTCATTAAAAACCTGCTTTATGTATCTGGGTGCTCCTCTTTTGGGTGCATATATATTTAGGATAGTTAGCTCTTCTTGCTGCATTGATCCCTTTACCATTATGTAATGCCCTTCTTTGTGTCTTTTGATCTTTGTTGGTCTAAAGTCTATTTTATAAAGACTAAGAATGCAACCCCTGCTTTATTATTTTGCTCTCCATTTGCTTGGTAAATCTTCTTCCATCCCTTTATTT